AGGTATTAGGTCTGCACATGTTGGTATTAGATCTGCACATGTAGATATTAGATCTGCACATGTAGGTATTAGATCTGCACATGTTGCTATAAGAAGTGCAAATGTTTGGAAATGTTATTGTAAACTAACATTACACTTCTCTCGACAGAAATCTATAATCTAATTTGTTTGTCTGGTCCAGATTGTATTAATTTCAAGATGGAATCACATGGTTGAAATATTGCTGGCCTCCTACGAAGGCAACATGTACATAATTGAGTCTGGACGCACACGCACAAACTATCTAAAACAAGTCCAAATGGATGATCTCGATACCGTGTGTTGTGAACTGTCTGAACACTCAAGTGTTGCATGTTTGTGCTGAGTTTATGTTGAAACACCAAAACAGAAACCATTTGTGATACAAAAAACAGTGTTTTATTTCCAAACCGAAAATAATCAGGTGTGGTACAATCAAAAATGTACATTTCCCCATCACTGAAGTAACCTTGGCAACTGTTGCACTGGATGCCCTCTATTTCAACATCACGATGGGGTCGATCCATTTGGACACCTTGAAAACAATTCATTTAATATTCACTCATTCTCCATAACAAAAACGGGTTAAAATAATAAATGGTATTATCAAAATGGATTTTATTACAGAATAAAATGGAAGTACCGGTACACAAGATACACTCTTTTTCACAGAAAAGAAAAAAGGTGTGTTAGAGGATCTTCATTCAATGTACGAGTGAGCAAATATAGCTCCACGCCACATCAACAATCTGGCAGCTATTCAACAATCTGGCAGCTATTTTTATGAGAATTTAATGTATGTGTGTCTACATTGTACCCATGTAAGGACATCTTAATTTTCTGTATTAAGATTATATTATAAGGGTGTCTCATTTACTTTTTGTAAATGTGTTTTCACTTCTTTTGGAGTTCTAACAAAAAGTAGACATTTAAACATTTTAAGACCAGAAAATATATACCATATTCGACGTAATAAGCGCCCCGCTCTAATAAGCGCCCACGGCAATATTTGCTAATATATTGGCAAGTGAACAATCCCAATTAGCATCCCTCCGATTGATCAATGTACACAAGACATATTTATTCGTGTATAATACGCACCCGTGTTATATGCACCCTTAATTATGGGCAATTAATTTCTGGAAAAATATATCTGTCATATATAAACAGTTCAGACCGTCAGCATAAACCACGAAATTTATCTTTCAACACTGTTTTTTCCACCAAAATAATATTCTAATAAGAGCCCCCCATTTCTAATTTTGAGAGCGCCCTGGGCGCTTATTACGTTTGAATATGGTACTACTCAAAACAAGTCAATGAGTGAGTGAGTGAGTATGGTTTTACGCCGCTTTTAGGAATATTCCAGCAATATCACGGCGGGGGACACCAGAAATGGGCTTCACACATTGTATCCATGTCGGGAATCGAACCCTGGTTTTCGTCATGACGAGCGAACTCTTTAACCACTAGGCTACCCGACTGCCCCACAAGTCAATGAACATGGCTGTGTGTTGCAATACCCAACAGCAATGACAGATTAACTGCAGTCCTATGAAATCATTGGGTGTTTATCATCATTTGTGTCATATCCATATAATTATTGGAAGTAATTACTTACTTACATCTTCAATAATAAAAGTAAGAGAAATGCATCTGAACATGGTGAAATACTATTTCAATATCGAAAAATACTTTTCATCATCGCATACTGATAAAAACAAAGCAGAGGGTATTTGTTTGTTTGTTTGTGTAATGCCGCACTCACTAATATTCCAGATATATGATGCAGGCCTATAAATAATCGAGTCTGGACCAGACAATCCAGTGATTCACATCATGAGCATCAATCCACGGAATTGGGATACGATGACATGCATCAACCAAGTCAGCGAGTCTGAACACCAGATCCTGTTAGTCGCCTTTTACAACAAGCATAGTCGCCTTTTATTGCAACAGAGGGTATTGGAGTTGCTTCAGAAGTTTTTTAGGAGTCAGTTTAGGTGGACCAATTTTCAACAAATATGGAATAAAATTATCTTGGGTCCTTCATGGAAGGAATAAGCTTTTTATTAACAATTAAGAGAAATTGTGTTCACGTCGCCACGTTGGTGATTAATTCCACTGTACATACAGGATCTAAAACAAATTCACACGATCACAACAGCCTGTAAATAATCGAATCTTGACCAGGCAAAACATTTGAAGACAGCATGACCTTTCTTCACAGTTAGTCAGCTTCAGATTCGTTTGAGCTACTGGGTTCTATTCCGTTCTTGAATTTCACAGCTGTACATCATATTTTAAATCGAGTGACAATGATGTGTTACAGATACAAGCATAACCACCGTCAGCTGTTAAGGACATCTTACCGCCATTCTCTAGAAGCTTGCACTGGCTAAACATCTGGGTGTAACCATGCCAGTGGTTGAGTGGACATATCATCGCCACTTTGAACACTATTTCAGTTATGAAAGACGCAGTGTCAGCTTACACGTTTACCACTTTGTTGAAACCCACGACCATGGGTATGGTTTGTCTGATGTTTAACGCCGCACTCAGCAATATTCCAGCCATATGATGGCGGTCTGTAAATAATCGAAACTGGACCAGACAGTCCAGTGATTGATGTCATGAGCATCGATCTACGCAATTGGGATACATTGACATGCATCAACCAAGTCAGTAAACCTGACCACACGAACCCGTCAGTCACCTTTTACGCCAAGCATGGATTGCTGAAGACCTATTCTAACCCGGATCTTCACAGGTCACCATGTGTATGGTGCTGATAGACCAAGGAAAGTAATCAGTTGAAGCCTTTATCCGAGCTCACAACAAACAGATCTGGGTTGGGATAAGGAACGGAACTATGGCCATGCAGAGAACTTCAGCATTTCAGACGAAAAGGTCACTGTGTTACAGCTTGATGAGACGCTGCGCAGACAAATCCCAATAAAGCATAGCGTATCTGAATCTGTTACGTCTTTGGCAAGGTAAGTGACAATGGGTATATTTTCAATAATTATTTCCAGGATGGTCTCATAATTATTTCAGGATGGTTTCATAATTATTTCAGAATTGTTTCATAATTATTTCCAGGATGGTTTCATAATTATTTCAAGAGGGTTTCATAATTATTTCAAGAGGGTTTCATAATTATTTCAGGAGGGTTTCGTCATTATTTCCAGAATGGTTTCATAATTATTTCCAGAGGGTTTCGTAATTATTTCCAGAATGGTTTTATAATTATTTTAAGGATGGTTTCATAATTATTTCAGGATGGTTTCATAATTATTTCCAGGATGGTTTCATAATTATTTCAGGATGGTTTCATAATTATTTCCAGGATGGTTTCATAACTATTTCCAGGATGGTTTCATAATTATTTCCAGGATGGTTTCATAATTATTTCAGGATGGTTTCATAATTATTTCCAGTTTGGATGACATCCTATAAGCATGATAAGAATACATTTGTGTACAAACGTATTTTTGTCAATAATGACTTAGTTTGCGAGGTTGGACAAGATAAAGCGAGGAATATTTGGAGTGCTGTGACAATAAACTGGTTTGTAACGAAATATGGGGTTAGACATACGTCTTTGTATAAACCCATTCGTTAGTTGGTGAACATGCAAAATTAGGGACAAAAACAATAATATTCACATCTCTTCACATATCACAGAAAAGGGTTCAGGTACAAATATATTACCCGACTCGGCGTGATACAAAAGATAATCTCATTTATGTTCTTGAAGTGAATACATACAGAGACCAATCACACACTACAGGGCTCGATTTAACTACACAAAACATGCTCCAGTGCAACCAATTATTGAAAAGTGCAACTGACTATTTATTCTACATGCACCAAGTGCAAAAATTTCAGATTTATGTCTGACCTTTACTTTTCCACACAATGTCGATCAATGAACACATTCAATCACTCTCAGGTTTTAGCACCACACTACATCACTATTCCCCGTGTTATGCGTACTCTGTCATGCTTTCTGGGCTTGACATCATCAAACTGTGGGTACTTCCAAGATTACGTGCACATGTTCCAATGATGTTTTACAACAATACATAAAAAATGTATGTAAGATTGTGACAGTCATCTGAGATCAAAGATTTTTTTTATTAAGACTAGTTTATTCATCCATCACGTCTGTTTCATAACTTTATGGGACCAAGGTGCTACCGGGTTTGGTCAGGTGCACCTGGGTTTTCATGTCAACATGCACCTGGCAGGAGTTCAAAATCAAGTTCCTAAAATCGAGCCCTGCACTAATCTTACGCCACATGGAATAAATTCTGTTTCCCACCACTGTCGTTTACCTCAAAATGAATACTAGTATTAAGGAGAAAGTCATATTTGCTTGGAAACGCTTGAAACTATATAGCCACATGTATGTTTCTGTCATGTAATTGTCGCCACATTGGCCAAAATAAGTTTATTTATCAGTACCGTTACCATGGCAACTATAGTTTACATAGACAAGATTTGAATAAATTTAGAGATACAATTAGTGAGGCATCTGCTGAAACCTCATCTCGCTGCTGGGCTGCAGGATATTGAATACATTATTATTTGGATAACTGTCATTTAACTTTGGTAATAGGCATCCTTATCATACCTGTGTTTGGAGAAGTACTGGCATTAAAACAAAAGTATTCCCTCACACCACAACGAAACGAGGTATGCATTTGAGGGGTTTGAATATTAAATACAAAAAATACAAATACACTATGATTCTTATTGTAGGATCCAGCAGCGATGAGAAACACTTTTATTTGATGTGGCCTTAGGCAACAGTATTTCCTTGTCGGGGTAATAACAGTAACTGAACTGCATAAGGGAATACCAGGGTACCAGTATTGCATATGAGATTGTTACTTGTGAAGCAATAAATTAGGACAGTGAACAAACACAGACCAACAACAAGAGCTTCCTGAAACAAAATATTACCAAACTTTACATACAGCAAAAACCTTTAATGCGAACCAGTTGTCCTGGCATTTACTGTAAGGAAACGGCTGTACACCAAGCTCCTCCCAGTGACAGCCACTTCCTGGATCTCAACATACGGTAATGGTAGCGAAGGTGTCATACACTGAGATGGAGCTTGGTCTATACACCATAGCCCATTCATGGAGCTCTACGGAACTCATGACCATGTCACTGGCATCGTCCAAGGGCAAGGGAGTTAACTGACTGTAGAAGTCCAGTTTCCACCCTTGCTGAACTAAGCTGGAATTTCTTGTGTCATTTCTAGTGCCTGGGGTGGCTATTACCAGTTATGTACCTTCTATGTCCCTCCCATTGACCAATCAGATTTCACCTCTCATATCTCTTGTAATTTCTTCAAATGAAATGGTGGCACAAGATGAACACAATCTGATCGATAATCAAGATCTATATTGTAATAAAACGGGTCTTACTTCAGAAGCGTATCAAAACACATGAGCACCTTGATTAAAAACATGAAAAGATTTTGAAAACATCTGTTGATGCTAATTTACACATGCTTTGCAAAACCTGCAATCGACCGAAATCTGCATGTCAGTTTACTAAGCAGTCGATTTTGTAACACAATTTTGATTGGACTATGCATTGACTCGTTAGTCCAGCCAAAATATAACTCATAATTCCAGCCTAGTTTGGCAAGGGTGGAAACTGGACTTTTATTGTGAGTTATCTCCCTTGCCTCGGGAAGATGGTTACTGGGAGTCATGTGTTGAAAAGGAGCTTGTCTATGCACATGCAAAGGGACATCACTCCATCCTCATGAAGGCATATCACTCTATGCTCATTTTATCAGAAACCTGGTGACAGTATTTCTGTGTCAACCACATTCCACTGTAATAAATAGATACAGAACAATTTCATTAATACTACACGCAATCAGTCTCCATTAATGAAACAATGACACAATATGACAAATCTACTTCAGGATGGGCTGATGTCTAGGTCATCTTGTCTCTGTATAAGAATGTAGGGCACAAGCACAAGGACTTCTCATTAACAAACACATCATAGTTACTTACTAAGAAACATGAAACAGGAACAATGTTATTGATACCTCTCGGATGTAAACACTTACTGGTACAAAATTAGAGTATGAATCTTTCACTAGGGCAGATCAGTTTCTAGCAAACTGGCCACGAATTCTCAGTGTCTGAGTAAGGAATAAAAAGACAAAACAGCACACTCAGCAAGAAAGGGTTCGATGACATGGTACAAGTCATCATTTTAGCACTTTTTCCTGAGACGTGCACAGCTGTGTACTTTCAAAAACATATCTGGAAAGTATTTTACTAATGATGACAGATATAATAAATCAAAATGTAGGAGTTTGTACGCCGGATTTTCTTTTACAATTTACAGTTCTAAATCGGTTTCTAAAATTTGATACTTTTGTTCGAGTGTCAAAAATATAAATGAAGTGTGGCCGTGCATTAAATTGCTTGCAGTAAAAGTGCACGTTATCTGACATGGGTTGATCTTGCTATTGGTATGAAAATGATGAAAGTAATACACAGAAAATAAACAATGCAGAAAATCAAGTATGCATACAAAAAAGACGAAATGTTCTCTCGAGTAGGATTGTTCATTGAGTGAGCAAATATGGTCAACAAATATAAGAAACGAAGACACATACACATGAATTCAAAGTCTGTATGACACATGCCTGACACACACTTCAAGCCTACAAAAGACTTCTCGAATTAAGAATGATATATTGTAGTTGTCCTACATCAGTGTTTGTAGTCTCACAGTTCTTAGTTCAACCATTTGCGAGGTAACTGTTTACATAGTGAAATTGTCTCCCTTTGTTACAGTGTGGGTTACCTCCCTTACACCACTGTTCGTCGTGAAGTTTGAATATCCTCGTATTGTGCTGGCTCTTTCTTTTCGTATTTTGTCAGAGGAACTGGGCTTTTCTCATCAGACATTCCTTCCTCATAGTTAATCCTTTTCACATCATTGACATAGAGAACCTGTAAGGACACAAGCCGGAAACATTTGAGCAACACATTTGGTTTTGACCCAACTAAAGTATATTCTTCTTTGATGGGCATTTAGAAGTCAGAGTACTAAGTACGGATAAGAATTTATGGATGAACAACTTCTTTATTACGTTTCGGTGTTGGGTCGAACATCTTGCTTGATAATGGTGTTAGAACCTACACCGAAATGTCGCTCTTAATTGTAATAAAGAAGTTATTCATCCATAAATTCTTATCCTTACTTAAAGTATATTCCCAAAGCGGACTTACAGAGAATTTCTTGAATGACAGAATAAACAAAATCATATTGTTTTCGAAGATTGAAAGCTTTGAACTCCTTGAAAACATCAATAGCTCATACACTAAGGCTAAAAAATAAAATAGTCTTGGTACTCAGGCACTGCCCGCATCATTCGTTCTTATTTCCATTTTTATTTTTAAATAATCAAAAAATCCTCAAATATTCCAAGTCCAACGGTGGTCAAATACTGTATTCCAGTATTTTACTCATCAAGGAATACATTTATGTAGGAAGGCCCTTTCCCAGGTTGATTGTATATTGATTACACAACTGTTTATTTGTTAGATACTTGTTTGAACAACCAAAAAAAAAAAAGACACCACCCGCCCATATTTTCCAAAAACATTGCCTGAGAACCAATTCTTTTATCTTTCTAAGCCTAAGGGCATGTTAATGCTTTGATATTGAATTTAGATGAAATGATTTGTACATTTAGGAGACTGTATAGTGTGGTCACGTCTTTAGTAATTTGTTTGTTTGTTGTTTAATGCTGCACTATTCCAGCTGTATAATGGCAGCCTCTACATAATCGGGTCTAGACCAGACAATCCAGTGACCGATATCGTGGGCATTGATCCACCCAATCAGGTAGGTTGACATGCTATATCAAGCAGCCTCTTTAGTCGCTCCATACAAGCATCGGTTGAAAGGGATCAAATCTATCCATTAACCTCCAATAATGTGATTTCAAATTTGCCCTCACTGGTAAATTCTCACAAATTGTTGCACTCTCCAATTTCAAATTGGACCATGATTTTGTGGTCAAATCACTTAAAAGTGTGATCAACGTCATTCAGAAATCACTGTGTTGCCTTTGTGTTTATATTCCCCTTACCGTTAAAGCACTTGTGACTATTCCTAGAACAGCGCCACCTAGAACGTCGCTCCAGTGGTGCTTATAGTCGGATATCCTAGACACACAGACATATACACCGCCTAGAACTGCCCCAAACTGGAGTAGAGCTCGCAGCAGACGACAATTCTTCCTCGGCAGACGAATCTGAGTATACATCTGAAGAGCAGACGATAAAAAGTACATCAAATTAATCCAATGTTAAATGCTACCAGTCTTTCAAGGGGGTGGGGTGGCCGACTGCTAAAAGTGTTCGCCCATTACGTGGAATACCTGGGTTTGATGTTCCAAAGGAAACCAATGCTTGAGTGATTGGTTGAAGTTGATTACAAGCTGCATTTCCCAGTATTTCAGCAACATGTATGTGCAGAACGAACACACACAGACACAGACACAAATACATTTTCTAATTCATGATTCCACCTCTGTGTGAGGCAAAAACCGTAATGGAATATTGCTCAAGGCAACGTAAAAAATCACTCACTCACTCACTCATTAGCTGCCAAAGACTGGTACACAGCCATTGCTGCATCAAGCATTATTTACTAACAAGCTCACATCAGTTAAATCGACACAACACCTTTTCTTTACCATGTTTACAGCAAATGAGTTACAAGAGATGATAACATAATTGAAGTTAGCAATTTATATCAGCTAATGAATACTCACAATAATATACGTCATTGCAAAGGCAATGAATGACGAATGACCGGACGGAAAAGATTTCCTGGAAGTAAATAGTCAAATTATACAGCATTTTTATTATGTTTCTTTTTATTTGTTGCTTAACGCCGCACTCAGCTACATGATGGTACTCCGTAAATAATCACGTCTGGACCACACAATCCAGTGACTGACATTATGACCATCAATCTACACAATTGGGATACAATGACATGCATCAACCAAGTCAACGAGTCTGACCATCCTACCCCATTACTTGCCTCTTTACGACAAATTTGCTAAAGAGCAATTATAACCCGCATCTTCACAGGGGTAATTGTTATGGACAACAGTCGCAAATCTAAAAACAAAATAAACTTTACATCTGATAACATTGCACCATTGACTAAGTAAATGCATTTATACATATAGAAAAGAATGAATTCTCATGGACAGGAGGTGAGGTGAGGTGAGGTGAGGTGAGGTGAGGTGAGGTGAGGTGAGGTGAAATTGGGTTTAACGTCGCGACCAAGATTATTGCACTTATATAGCAACGTGCGTGTACGTGTGTGTGGCTGCTTGTACTAGTCCGGACTGATGACGATTTATAGTGCTAGCTCACTGAGATACCAAGCTGCAGTTTAACATGAATACCCCACTCAGACACAGTATACTGACTCCGAGCCAACCAGTCCTTGTTTTAGCCCTTTAATGCCAAGCACCAGACAGGGTAACAACAAGTATCATCTTTTAACGTCTTTTGGTATGACGCGACCTTCCGCTCTCCAGGCGGACGCTCTACCACTAGACCACGGAGGCGGTCCTCATGTACAGGAACAAAAGGAATAACCAGCTGTCAAACTTCAGATGTCAGTTAAAACAGACGGTAATGCTATAAAACTTTTACCGTATTCGATGTAATAAGCGCCTGGCTCTAATAAGTGCCCATGGCAATATTTGCTAATATATTGGTTAGTGAACAATCCCAATCAGCACCCCTTCCGATTGATCAATGTACACAAGACTTATTTATTTGCCTATAATACGCACTTGTGTGTAATATGCACCCTTAATTATGGGCAATTAAATTCTGGAAAAGTATATCTTTTGTATACAAACATTTCAGGCTGACAGCATAAACCACAAAATTTATCTTTGAACTCTTTTTTCACCAAAATAATATTCTAATAAGAGCCCCCTTTTTCAAATTTTGAGAGCGGCCTGGGCGCTTATTACGTCGAATACGGTATATCATTTTATAACTGGTAAACTGTAAGGGCCTCATCTTACTTGGCATCGATGATGAGCGCGTCATTCGTGCCTTGGCACACGTAGTCGACGATGTATCCGGCGCTGCAGTTGATCTTAGAGAAGTCAGGTTTGCAGATATCAAAGAAGTGTGGTCGCAGCCGACCCACCACCAATTTGACCACTTCCGTTGTCAGATAGCAGACCCCTCCTCCGAAAGATGCAACACCTATCTGGGCGAAGAGCAGCTTCCCGTACATATTGAAAAAGGTCCGCACACAGCTGAGGCCAGTCAACAAGTAGGCGTCTAAGGCCTCGATTGCAAAAATCTGAAACATACAAGTCAGTAAGTGAGTGAGTGAGTTGGGTTTACACCGCTTTCAACAGTAATCAAGTAATATCACAGCGTGTCAGATTAATGTGGGAGGTCTTAGACATTTACCACATTGGTGAAATCCTCAAGAATGGGTATGGTGCTGACAAACCTAGAAACAATTGGGGTGAACCGGGATTCGAACCATAGGTTTCTGGTTTAATACCCAGGATCTTGTACACCTAAGTGACGCAACTCAGTACAGCAAACTGCGGTGCCTTACACGACTTGGTCATCCATGCTCCTATAAGCGAGTGAATACCGCTCAACGATGCCTCAGCGATTTAGCAGTTATTCACTTGAAATAAAAAAGGTGAGGTGAGGTGAAATGGGGTTTAACGTAGCGTCCAAGATTATTGCACAGATTTGTGTGGCAGCTTGTACTAGTCCGGACCGATGCCGATTTAAAGTGCTAGCTCACTGAGATTCCATGCGGCAGTTTAACATGAATACCCCACTCAGACACAGTATACTGACTCCGAGCTGACCAGTCCTTGTTTTAGCCCCGTAATGCCAAGCACCAGACAGGGTAACAACAAGTACCATCTTTTAACGTCTTTTGGTATGACGCGGCCCGGGAATCGAACCCAGGACCTTCCGCTCTCCGGGCGAGCACTCTACAACTAGACCACGGAGGCGGTTTGAAATAAAAAAAACATTACGTACCAGTAACACCATGGGGAGGACACCGATGAGGGCAGCATCCACCATGGAGACCGTGTCGTCATGGTAGGGGTACATGAGAGACTGGTCATCGCAGAAGAACCCCCGCCCAAACGGTGTCACGTCAACCTTGAAGATGGCAATGGCAGCCACAAACACTGAAACATAATGGTGCCAGTTAGTGGTGCATGTACTCATGGTAGGCTTGTGGCCTCTGTATCACACTAATCGTGAGTAGTTGTTTTATTCATCAGTCACCAATATTTCACATAACACACCCGCCCCTGTGTGCTACAGTCGACATCGCATGTGAATCCTACATCAAGGTCATATGATCAGGTGACTATGCTTGTTGTAAAAGGCGACTAACGGGATCAGGTGGTCAGGCTCGCTGACTTGGTTGATACATGTCATTGATCCCAATTGCGTGGATCGATGCTCATGATATCAATCACTGGATTGTCTGGTCCAGACTCGATTATTTACAGACCGCTGTCATATAGCTGGAATATTGCTGAGTGCGGCATTAAACAACAAATCAACCAACCAAACCAAAAGCTTTATTGGATAAGTGGGTATGGTTTTATTGCTTTATGCAATATTCCTGCAATGTCACGGTAGGGGACACTAGACATGGGCTTCTCACATTGTACCCAGGTGGGTAATCGAACCCACGCCTCCAGGGTAACAAGTTAACGCTTTAACCACTAGGCTCCTTCATGGGTAGAGGAGATATAGTTTTTATCGCTCAGGGTTATACATGATGCATAGTTGTGTGTCCAAAGTACTCATAAACATATAGAATGGACAGCAGCAAATAATATATATTGCATCCATTGTACCAAATTCTTCACAAGAAATAGGGATTTCCTGTAATAAAAGTAATTATCGTATTCGACGTAATAAGCACCCCGTTCTAATAAGCGTATGGCGATATTTGCTAATATATTGGCTTATATATATTGGCGATATTTGCAATACGTATCACAAAACGCTTATTCAGGGTATTTCAGGGTAGGTTTATGAATCATCATGCATTGAACTGTTTGAATTTTCTGTATGCCGGTAAAAAAGAAAACATTCAACTTTATGGGTAACACCTTCTGGTATATCATGGTATATTGCATTAAGCAATGTTTCGATGTAGGTTAGGCAATCATAACTTTTTTGTATTTCTTAAGTTTACAGTAAAAAATTTCAAAAAAATATAAATACAATTACTCCTTTTATTATTATCGCCGATCTTCATAATGCATAAAAAGTTCAAACAAAAAAGATTTTGTTTCCTTGTTGAGTAGAAAGCAAAGGGAAGTCACTCTGATATTTTTAGCTGAGATCCTTCTCTAGTACCATCAAAGCTTGTCAATGCAAAGCGCAGTGGTGACAAGTTTAATCGTCGCACATGGTGCCAAAATATAAAAAATGTTCTTGAAAAATGGAGTTGTTTTGCTTTCGTTACTCCAGAATATTTTTCTTTATACCAAACAAAAGTCATGCAAAATAAATCCGAAATGTTTTTTGTTTTGTTTCCTACTTTGCCTACCTCACTTTTGAAATGAGTTTAAAGTCACCCGTAAACCAAGAAATAAAAATATGTTGCCTTAAAGAAAAAAAGCAAATAATCTAATTTTGCAGGTGCATCATCTCGTATTGATACAGAAAAAAATCTATCGTATTGTGGCATGAAAACTGGCGATGCACCGGTGCACCGGTCTATCATGTCAGGCCGACAGGAAATGGCTGATTATCCATATTATCATTACACAGTTATTGTTTGATCGACCGTTATCTGAGGGAATGGTTAGCAGCCTACGCAAAATATTTGATCAGTCTGCATACACGAGTACATGAATATCAAGAATAGTGCCTCGGAAGTGCAGCTCACCTGGAAAGTTGAAAATTGCTGTTAGCATTCATATTCAATTATCTTCTGCATTAACCCTAAGGACTAATAATGAACACTAAAATTCTATGATTTAAATAAAATATTATGTCAGTATAACAGGAAACACAATGTCATTGTTCAGCTTCTTCAGAATGGCAATTTCAGGAGAAGTGATGCATTTTGAGCGATTTTTGAGCTATAAATGCAATTTGAGCGATTACAAGAGCATGGTCAAAACACAAAGGTCATACATAACAAGGTGAAAATTTAACATATTGCAAAAATTGGAACATATCTCCGAGTCTTGCTACCAACTTACCCTGACTTTTAGTCAGGTCAGCTATAACAGATATATATAGGTATATAAGATATATCTACGTTATCAATAATTCTTTTATCATTTCGAGATAGGCCATCATTGGTGACATCAGCCTCTGTGTACTCTAAAGAAACATGACGGTACATTGTACTGGCTATATTTCAGCTATAAGACTGTGAAACAGCTTACTGTGAAAATAGGATATACACTCTTCACCTTTGGTCAAATCCCACAAGCAAATTTATGCAACTGACGTAGCAAAGATTATCATTAGATTCAAACATAGAACTGGATCCTGACAAAACTAAGGGACACGACCCTCTACTAAAATTCTTGTCCAATGCAAGTGTTGTAATACAAGATGTGTCAAAGCAGTAATAGCTGTAATTTAAAGTCAGTATTATGCAATCGAAAAGAAATTCCAATATCTCACATACTATCCATACATAACTCATGCCTATTATATAATAGTCTATACCTCATAGAGATCTACCACGGAGCACTGCCCACAAATTCTCAAAGATTGACTACGGCACAGTGCCTTCACCTTCTCCATGATCTACAATATTAAGTCTCTATACCTTTTCACAGACCTACTACGGCACAACACCTACACCACGTACACCTCATAGACCTACACGTAGACCCTAGACAGCAGCACAGTGTCTGTACTTTAACGAAGACCCAAGACAGCAGCACAGTGTCTATACTTTAACGTAGACACAAGACAGCAGCACAGTGTCTGTACTTTAACGTAGACCCAAGACAGCAGCAGTGTCTGTACTTTAACGAAGACCCAAGACAGCAGCACAGTGTCTGTACTTTAACGAAGACCCAAGACAGCAGCACAGTGTCTGTACTTTAACGTAGACCCAAGACAGCAGCACAGTGTCTGTACTTTAACGTAGACCCAAGACAGCAGCACAGTGTCTGTACTTTAACGTAGACCCAAGACAGCAGCACAGTGTCTGTACTTTAACGTAGACCCAAGACAGCAGCACAGTGTCTGTACTTTAACGTAGACCCAAGACAGCAGCACAGTGTCTGTACTTTAACGTAGACCAAAGACAACAGCACAGTGTCTATACTTTAACGTAGACCCAAGACAGCAGCACAGTGTCTGTACTTTAACTTAGACCCTAGACAGCAGCACAGTGTCTATACTCTAACATAGACCCAAGACAGCAGCACAGTGTCTGTAATTTAACGAAGACCCCAACAGCAGCACAGTGTCTGTACTTTTACTTAGACCCAAGACAGCAGCACAGTGTCTGTACTTTAACGTAGACCCCAGATAGCAGCACAGTGTCTGTACTTTAACGTAGACCCAAGACAGCAGCACAGTGTCTGTACTTTAACGAAGACCCAAGACAGCAGCACAGTGTCTGTACTTTAACGAAGACCCAAGACAGCAGCACAGTGTCTGTACTTTAACGTAGACCCAAGACAGCAGCACAGTGTCTGTACTTTAACATAGACCCCAGATAGCAGCACAGTGTCTATACTTTAACATAGACCCAAGACAGCAGCACAGTGTCTGTACTTTAACGTAGACCCCAGATAGCAGCACAGTGTCTATACTTTAACGTGGACCCCAGATAGCAGCACAGTGTCTGTACTTTAACATAGACCCAAGACAGCAGCACAGTGTCTGTACTTTAACGTAGACCCAAGACAGCAGCACAGTGTATGTACCTTAACGTAGACCCAAGACAGCAGCACAGTGTCTGTACTTTAACATAGACCCCAGATAGCATAGACCCCAGATAGCAGCACAGTGTCTGTACTTTAACGTAGACCCAAGACAGCAGCACAGTGTCTGTACTTTAACATAGACCCAAGACAGCAGCAGTGTCTGTACTTTAATTGACACAGCACAATATGTTTACTTTAAACCAAATCCTACACAGCACAGTGCCTGTACTTCAACACTGCAGTGCTTGATATAACTGATGGACAGTTTTCCCATGGCTAGTAACAATTACAATGAGCATGCTGGCTAGTCAAACTAGTGACAACCGGCCACCATTCTGCAATGTTGTGTACAACAACTTCTTAAGCTGCTCATAAATCAACATGAAATGAAGCAAATGGGAGCCAAAATTTAATCTCAGAGAGCAGGAAAAAACGTTTTAGGGGTGAGTAGTTCTAACATTTTCAGAGCACTGCTAGGTGGCTTCCCGGCATCAGGTTCAGGCACTTCTCACCTCCAGCATTTAGTTGTAGGCCAGTTAGTTTGGAGAAGGGCCAGTAACTTTTAAAAGGAGTAAGCCTGCTGACATTGTACAAGTTTGTTGTTAAATCTGTCTGCCTGAACTTCAGTGCAGACCCAAGTACCTATACCATAAATCAGACCCCAGACAGCAGCCAAGGTGTGAGATCCATACAACCATAGTGAGTTTAAGAGGAAATGACAGGAAACGTGTAACGAGATATGATGTTCATTTACTCCTGCGAACATTCTCAGTCCCCTTACCTATTAACACTACAAGTGCGTTCACAGTCCACTGAACATAGAATCCACAGTTTGAGGTTGGAGATCGAATCTCTCCTCTGGCTGTCCCAAGCATAAGTGGTGACACTTCCATCATTAGGATGTGGTAAACCCTAGGATGGGAATTCCTTTGAAAATGCTCCTCTTCAGAGATCGTGAATGCTGACAACAGTTTACTGGTATATTATGTAACTTGTGTATCAATCTCCTTGTGACGTGACAGCTACACCAATGCACATAGACCACATGCAGTATTGGCTAAAAAAAAGTACTTAAGTCCTTCACTCAGTACTTGGCACAAATGGCAACATCCTTTGTTTTCAGAAGGGGAAGAGGTTGTGTTTTTCAACTTAAGCAGTAAGCTCAGGAGGCAGTAAGACAACAAAGTCTACCAGCATGATGAGGAAAGCACTGTGTCCATGGACTCTGAGGATGGTGTGATGCAAGGTGAAGAACTTGA